CACCCCAGCTTCCACCCCAGCATCCGCCCCAGCTTCCGCCCCAGCTTCTTCCACCCCAGCTTCCGCCCCAGCTCCACCCCAGCTTCCACCCCAGCTTCCTCCCCAGCTTCCGCCCCAAATCCACCCCAGCTTCCACCGCAGCTTCCACCCCAGCTTCCACCCCAGCATCCACCCCACCTCCATCCTAGCTCCACCCCAGCTTCCACCCCAGCTCCACCCCAGCTCCACCCCAGCTTCCACCCCAGCTTCCACCCAGCTCCACCCCAGCTTCCACCCCAGCTTCCACCTGTAGGCTCGGGGGATAGTTATCTAATCATCACTCAATGTTCTTTGCAAATCTGTGGAGCGTTGAGGCCCGAGCCTAGACGCCAAACTCAAACTATATGCTGCTTCTAATAAACATATTAAGAAACACGTGAGTTGTCTGACTGAACTTCTGTTTCCTGTCCCTCCTCTTCCTCACATTGGACCCTCCCAGCTGGCAGAGTGGAGAGTGGAACGCCTGCTCTGTGACCTGTGGCGGAGGATCTCAGGTGCGCAGCGTGCAGTGCGTTTCCCATGATGCAGCGGGGCCCCGTGTGGTGGAGGACGCTGTGTGTGCCGCGTACGTCGAGGCCCCCCCCGCCCTGCAGACCTGCAACATGCAGAAGTGTGCCGAGTTCAGAGCGAGCCGCTGGAGCGCGGTGAGGGAAACAAACAAAAACAACATCATTGAGATTGTTTATACCTTATACAACAATGCTATGTTTATTAGCATGTTTATTAGCATATTGTCAAGTTAGTTCAAGTTCTCTCTCTCTCTCAAAGTCTGTCTGCACATGAAAAGACAGCAGCGGAGACATTGGACAACCTAAATTATGTTCTGTTGAACAACAAACTGAATATTCTTTGTTCACTTAAGCTGGACATAAGTACTTGAACATGTCTTCAAAACGTTAGTATATGTTTTTTAAAGTCTTTATATAACCATATGCAGCATATTTGCATTAAATATCGAGTGAATTCGGCAAAACCAACAGCCTCTTAGGATACAAGCTATGGTTTAAAACTGAGCCGAATCACTTTTCTTTTCTTGCACTACAAATCAAGAAAACTCAAATCAAACAACATAACATCAACCCGCCTCAACACTAAAGAGTGCTGTGTGTTGTGTTGCAGTGCTCAGTGAGCTGTGGTTCAGGGGAACAGACCCGGGATGTGAGCTGTGTTGGATCAGGAGGGATGAGACTGGAGGAGACCGCCTGCAGCGCTCTGAGTCGCCCCGCCGCCGCCCGGACCTGCACCCAGCCGCTCTGCATCAGCACCCGTCCAATCAGCACCCGTCCAATCAGCTGGCACCTCGGAGACTGGGGACTGGTGAGTGGAAACACAGGACAACACACACTGCACTCATGTGACGTCACTGGGGCTCAGCAGGCGGGGATTAAGTTGATGTTTTTGCATTAAACAACTAAATCTGAAGTCTGTAGTAAATCTAAAACCAAAGCTATAAATGATCTCAGATGATAATCTAACTTTAATAATAATAATAATAATAATAAATGATATTTATATAGCGCCTTTCAAGGGACCCAAGGTCGCTGTACATGGTGGATAAACAAAACAAACAGACAATCAACGGGCAAACCAAAGAAATAAAGAAAGGAAGCCGGGGGACCAGAAAAGGGCGAGCGCCGGAAGGACAGGGTGAACAGGTGTGTTTTCAATGATGATTTGAAGATGTCCAGGGAGGCAGCGTTACGGATCTCGGCAGGAAGTGCATTCCAGAGGGAGGGGGCCGCAACACTGAACGCCCGTTCACCAACAGTTCGGAGGCGAGAGCGGGGGATGGAGAGCAGGCCCGTGTCTGAGGACCGCAGACTCCGAGAAGGGGTGTAGGGATGGAGGAGGTCCGATAAGTACTGGGGGGCGAGGGTATGGAGGGACTTGTACGTGAGGAGGAGTGTTTTGTATTGAATCCGGGACTTGACCGGCAGCCAGTGGAGGTGGATGAGGGTGGGGGTGATATGTTGCCATGGCTTGGTGCGGGTGAGAAGCCTGGCTGCAGAGTTCTGGACGTATCGGAGCCTGTCCAGGGTTTTGCTGGGAACCCCGGACAGGACTCCGTTGCAGTAGTCCAGACGGGATGTGATGAAGGCGTGTACAAGAGTTTCTGCCTCTGAGTCAGAGAGTGAAGGCCGGATTCTTTAGGAGTCAATCTAAAGTCGATCTATAGTCCGAGGTAAATTAAGTCTTTGCAATCAAGTCCCAAGTCATGTTCGTTTTATTAATTTAGTGCCACACATGATCCTTTTTCTCAAAGACAGCACATCTTCAATGAACTCAAGACAGGCCTTAACAGGTCATACAACATTGTTGAACACTACCTTGTTTCTGTACAAGAATCCTCGGCATAATTTCCTTCAAACTTTGTCTCAGTAGCATCATGTTCTTCTGGGTTACGTCCTTCAACTGAATGGACACAGCTGGCTCAATCAAAGTGGATCTCGAGAATCAAGTGTGTACTTTTTTGGAACGAGTATAATTCACGTTGTTTGATTCAGGAGTTTGTTTGTTCGTCCCGCAGTGCTCCAGGAGCTGTGGATCCGGCTCTCGGGAGCGTCAGGTGATCTGCTCGGACCGCGAGAGGAACCTGTACCCTGTGAGCGAATGCAACGCTCACCAGAAACCCTCCACCGTGGAGCGCTGCAACACCCAGTCCTGCTACAGCCCACAGGGTGAGGCTCAGAGACAGACTGAAGCTCCTGAAACACACTCTGACACGCTGTGTTTTAGACTGAGAACGAAAGCATTGAGAGACAGAGCTTTTCCCAGAATCCTACTTTTTTCATATGTAAATTAAATTGAAATGAGTTTTATTTAATAGGATATTAGTTGTTACACTTCGGTCTTGTGTGGCCAAAATGTTTATTACAAGAACAAATGCAAATACTAAAATAAGATAACCTAGGAATTTGTTTTCCACATTAGTGATGCATGATTCAATTTTTCCCTGTGTGTGTGTGTGTGTGTGTGTGTGTGTGTGTGTGTGTGTGTGTGTGTGTGTGTGTGTGTGTGTGTGTGTGTGTGTGTGTGTGTGTGTGTGTGTGTGTGTGTGTGTGTAGTGGTTCCCAGCGTCCAGGACTCACGAGGACACGACAACACTCAGACTGTTTTCCAGCCCCACTCACCGGACCAGTCCACAGGTGAGACTCTTTAAAATAAATCCAGGTGCAGGTGAAGTATTCCTGTAACATACTATATTAATACCTTGATAGTTTCTCTATCCTAGTATCTGTTTCTCTCAGTTCCTCTGCAG